AATACGTACTAACTATGATGATTGTACAACGGTATCGTTTTCCGGCCACCCAACCATCCCGAGAGTGAAAGGATGGTTTAAGATATCATGAAATGTAAACGGCGACCGGGAAACACTCTTCGTCGCCCTAGGGTCGACGACGTCACAACTAACTCCGCCACTAGTATCACTCGCATCGTTTTCTCTACTCTTTCTCTTTGTCTCCGCCTTGTAAAAACCCTACGTAGCATCTCCTCCTAGATGCTGACATCACTGTTCATGCTCTCTCTTTAGATCTGATCCGGCCAGCAAGAAACCGTCGGTCGCCCAAGTCAACTGCAAATGCAAATTCAGCCAATGTGTTGTGCAATTTATGGAAACACCACGGGTTGATGTGGAATATTCCCTTCTACAGCAACTTCCCTGTCAGTAATTTACTCTCCATAGGTATCTCTCTATCTTGGCACCCAGTAATTAATTTATGTTTTGACAGATGTACTCCCATGCCACCAATTTGCAGTAAAATTAACTACTTGGAGGTACTAGCTAGCTAGATGATCTGATCTGATGAATGATGCAGTTGACATTTCACTCCTATTTTTTTCCCAAAGTTATGTATGAGAATTAATTGTTCAGTTCATGGAAGCAAGAAGAGACCGACGGTCACAGCCTCATCTTTTTCTTATGCTTATACTTATTAGCTAAAATTTAAATTTTCAACATTAAATTTAAAGTTGATTTTAGGGTTTCTTTCATCGAAATTTATTTTTCAGTTTTTGTTTTTAGGTCGCTAAGAACACATATATAAAAATTTTATTCACAAATTGTTTTTTATTTGTAAATATGCTATTTCGCTTATTCCTAGAGCCGTTTTCGGTGGGCTATGCTGTTTTGCTTGTACGTACTAATGACTTCACTGTACCGTACAACATCGTTTATAAGTTCCAAGTTGAAACAATGGTAACCGTATTTTTTGTTATTAATGACAGAAACTGCAGCAATCCGGCAAAACTATTGGCGATCGAGAAGGAAAAACAGGCAAGGAGGTTGCTTGATCGATCTGAGCTGACGAATCGGCTTCTACTACTACTTGGCTACATATAAATGCAGACATGAACTACTGAACTGCAGAATACTTCTCTGCGAGAGTGTACCTAATTAAGCTGTATTCGAATCTTCTGATCTTCTCTGTAAATTATAAGATACATAGCCCTCTTGCGTATTGTCGAAAAGAAAATTCTATCTCGGGTGCTCTAAGCATGTTCTAGCCCAATGTAAATAAGTTATGATAAGTATCAGTTGACCCCAATTGCAGTATTACAGCAGCAGAACAGGAAGCTCTCTGACGTCGAGCTCCGAAACATGTGATCTTGAACAATTCTTTAGCTGAAGATTAATGTAAGTCAAAGAAAGCGATTAAACGGTACGACGGCATCGAAAAGAATATTGAGTTGTATGCACCAACCAGTTCGGTTATCCCGGAAAACTTGAACCGACAAGACAAAAAATGACGAACAAAACGTTCAAATCTTCAGAGATCGATGCTTGGCATTGTTCTTCCTCCGATGCAGTGATCGACACGGCGTTTCTCTGTCGAAAAGGGATCGATCTAAAGAAGACAAGCAGAGATGAACACGACCTGCGAAAGGTGACACCGGTTTACACGACGATTCGCTGTACAGGGTATATATCTCTGCATCTCGATCGATTTCACCGAGTCACGAGGCTGTACTGCTGCTGCTGGTTCTTCGCTTTGGATCATCACTGTCAGAGTCTTTGGCTAGATTTGCAAGAACCAAAGTGTGCTCTGACAGCAGTGAGTGTGATGATGATGATGATGATAGTGGGGATGAGTACGTACTGTATTTACACAGCCCCACTTTGTGCGCTGCCTGCAAAATTCCAGGACCAAGAAACAGTTGCCTGCTAATTGCCGGAATTTAATCGCTCATTTAATCAGGCAGGCAGCACGGCACAAAGCTGACCATCTTGTTCTTGTTCTTGCAGGTCAAACAGCTAGTAAAAAAAAACACTGTTTTTTTAATCCTGAAACTCTGAAAGGCTCGGTGTCACATATACTTGGTGCTGCTAATCTTCAGACTTTCAGGGGAAAATCATGAATGGTAGGATGTGAGAGATAATGCTGGATTGCAGATCAAAGATGCAGTGAAAGATGGGACAAGGAAAGTTCAGAAAAGATCAAAGAGCTTTATTCTTTCCACATGAAAGAACAAGAACTCAGACCAACCTAGTACTGTCACTGCTAAAAATCACGTGCAATGTTCTACTAAGTTATAACTAACGGTAAATACGATCAACTGTAGCTCGTAAAGAAACTCTGACGAGGCAGTAAACATTTGCATATGCAGATATTACTTTCACCTGAGCACCTGAGCTACAGCATTGTACAAGCAAGAACCTGTACAGGGTATGCTATGCAGGAGTGGTCCTGAACTGTATGTATATATGTAGCTATTGTTCTGCAGCTTCTGAATATGTACCTTGGAGACCCAGCTCCACCGTTTGCTTATTGGCTTCAGTCACAGCTAAAATTTGGATTTTAAAGTTGATTTTAATATTTTTAATCACAATTTATTTTTCAATATTACATTTAAGTCGATAAAAATATATATATGTAAATTTTATTTGTTTGTTTTTTTCACAATTTATCAAGTGTAGACCAAATTATGATTACCAGTAGCAGACATAAGCCTAGAGCCTGACCCCTAGGTTTGTCTCCAAAACTCCTACTAAAATTTATCAAAACTTGGCGGAGATTTTAAAAACACAAGGTGTATAAGCAAGTTGAGCCCTGCTACTGAAGATTTTCTGATTTTCTGGCTCCGCCCCTGATGATGATGATGATGGTGATGGATGACATGGTGTTGGACCCAAACAGTGTGGGCTACAATTAATACATATGTAATCAGCTTCTTCTAGGTTAATTAGAGTGGACGCATCAGGAGGAGGAAGAGAAGGAATCATGGCACATGGAAGCACAGGCCCCGGAAATGCCAGATGCCATGCGCAAAGCGAGGAGATATGCATGAGCACTACTATGAGCTTTTTGGTCACCCTTTTTTCTCGCCGGATTTTTGCGGATACAACCTTCTCAAAAACCTGAATTTGCAAAGATAGGCCCCTCTCGCAAAGAGGGAAATGGCCAAGGGGCCACTTATGGCATATTCGTGTTGGGTGCTTTCGCATCACTTCGCAGGTGACACTGCTGTGTTAAGCAAGCACAATAGTTAAGCCTGGGGCATGTAAGCTTATAGGTAATACACGTACGTCATCTAAAGACACGTTCATAGAACAATTGAGGTATTAAAAGCTTTAACTATTAAGTCACCAAAATAATTTTTCATTATTCGCACTTCCTTTTACCCACCCACAAGTAACAATTTTTTCTTTTATCTTAGGCTTAGTCGTATTTGTACGAGCCTAGTATAGTCTCATACTCCCTCCATCCCATAATATAGTAATCTAGTACTGGACGAGACATTTTATATTACAACGAATCTGGACAGATGCATGTCCAGATTTGTTGTAATATGAAATGTCGCATCCGATCCTAGATTGTTATATTATGGGACTGAGAGAGTAGACAATACGTGTTATCTAGAGACTCATTCATATAACAGCTGTGACAATCAAAGGCTCTAAATATTAAACCACCAAAATAATTTTAATTATTTGTCCTTCCTTTTGCCCACATCACAAAGAATTTTTTAAAATCTTAGGCTTAAGAATCGTATTGTATGGCTACTAGGCTCATAGGCAATACACTTCATCTAGAGACATACTACCTCCGTCCCAAAATAAGTACAGTCGTGGATATCCGTGCCCAATGTTTAACCGTCCGTCTTATTTAAAAAATTTATGAAAAAATTGAAAATATTTAGTCACATATAAAGTACTATTCATGTTTATCATCTAATAGCAATAAAAATACTAATTATAAAAAAATTCAAATAAGACGAACGGTCAAACGTTAAACGTGAATAGTGCAAAACTGCACTTATTTTGGGACGGATGGAGTAGTCATCATACAAGACAATCAAAACCTCTAACCATTTAGCCTCCAAAATAATTATTAATCAACTGTCCTTCCTTTTACCCACCCTCACGTAGCAAAATTCTTTTTATCAGCCTTAAGAGTCGATTTAAGCTCAATATAAATATGGAGTCAAAATACAAGTTAATTGTTGTTGTACATATTCTAGTATATTCTTAGGGGGTGTTTGGTTCGAGAAGAAAAGGGGATACATAAATTAAACCTAATGGTAGTGGGAAATATTGCGACCAGAGAGCGAGAGGAGTGATGCACAAGGGCATTATACGGCATATTTCTCTTTCCTGAAAATGATTCTTAAAAGTAAGATTTGTTTTTAGGTACATGTGAGATGGGGCCACTGTATGTCTGTAGGCAGTGTAAGTGGCATAACATATGCATGATGAATGATTTTGATAAAAATATTGAAGAATTTTGTTAGTGGCCAATTCAACAAACTAATAATGGGCCTCACTGTAGTCTCTTCGGCCCTGGGCTCTAAGAAACAGTAGTGAGTCTTGTCGGTGGATGGCCCACAAAACAGGTTGGGCCAGTTGACCTCCATACTGATACAGCAGAAGTAACTTCTCAAAATCTAAGAACTAACTTGTTGATAGCTAGATTTTGAGAATGTAAAAGAAAGAACTGGGTTTTTCAGTTTATACGTTCTAGTCTAAGTTCTAGATTTTATAACTAAAGATTTTAAGAATCTAGGTGAAAATCAGCATTATTTGGAAGAGTTGGAGATTTAAGAAGAAGCTATAGCTGCTCCTCTAAACATGGCCTATACAACTATGTTTGACAATATACTCCCTCCATCCAAAAAAAAAACGGAGAGGGTACTTTCCAAAAACCATAGGCCGTCGTTGTTGTGCTAGTACAAATTCAGTAAAAAACCATAAATTTTCTCCACATTTCAAACATGGCCTAGCTTAATTTCCCAATTTTCTGGTGCACGTGACGTAAGCGATTTCACAGCTTTCATATCTCGACATTTCGTCAAACACATGGTTTGCAAATTTCAACAAAAAAATAAAAGTAGTTTTTTTTCTTTTGTTATTCCGTCATTTCGTCAAGCACATGGCATGCAACATTCAACCGAAAAAAAACACACACAAAATTTCCTCTTCACAACGACGACGCTACTCACCAACGCGCGAGAGCAACGGGCTGATCCTGCCATTGTTGCCACCTACGAGAGCTCGGATTCCATCTTCAGAGCGCCTTGAGCATCTCCTCGGCGCTGCTGGTGGTGAAGGCGCCGCCCTCCTCGAGGTTGAGCACCTTGACGACGCCGTCGTCGGCGAGGAGCGCGTAGCGGCGCGACCTGACGCCGAGCCCCATGGGCTTGTCGGAGAGGTCCATCTCGACGCCGAGCGCGCGCGTGAGCTCCAGGTTGCCGTCGGAGAGGAGGAGCACGTCGGCGTCGCCGAGGCCCAGGCTCTCCTTCCACGCGCGCATCACGAACGCGTCGTTCACCGACACGCAGGCAATGGCGTCCACCCCCTTGGCGTGGAGCTCCCCGGCCTTCTCGATGAACCCCGGGAGGTGCTTCTGCGAGCACGTCGGCGTGAACGCGCCGGGCACCGCGAACAGCACCGCCTTCCTGCCCGCCGTCAGCTCCGCCACCGTCACCGTCTTCAGCTCGCCGTCCGCCGGGTCGAAGTAGGACAGCGTCGCGTCGGGGAGCTTGTCTCCGACGGCGATGGTCGCCACCACGGTGGACGCCGACGCCGCCGACCTCCGCGCCGCTCTCGCCCCCGCGGCGCGGACGCCTGTTGCGAGGGGGCGGGAGGAGAAGGAGAGGGAGAAGGAGGAGGTGATGAAGCGCTTGCCGGAGGTGACGCTGGCGGTGGAGAGGGTGGAGAGAGCTGCTGCGGTGGGAGCGGCCATGGAGGGCGGCGACGGCGATGTGTTCGAGGAAATGCTTCTCTGTTGGGATTTGGTTTGGGAGTGCGCGGCGCGACGCGAGAGATAGGAAATAGTGGGATTTGGTTGGTGGGGTGGTGATGGCGAGGCGGAAGGAACGGGTGGACGGCGTGGTGTTGCGCTGGATTAGGCGAGGCAGAGCCGGCCCACGGGTCTGGTAGCGACGGCCCAGGACTACAGTGTCGGGCCTATTTTTGTTGGGCCGAAACAGGATTGTTCGGCCTGCCTTGGTGATTCGGGTTGGGCCTATGAAAATCCAGCCCAGTTTTCCCCGTTTGACTCTGATGGAGTTGAATTTTTTTTATTTTTAATTTTTTTTATTAAAAGTTTTACAAAAATAATTTTCTATTTTGAAAATTGACGGAAGTAGTCGCCTACCGCCCTCTGGGAAGGCGATTTTTAAAAATCGCCCTCCCAGAGGGCGGCGAAAATGACGTGGCAGACGGCCGTTCGCTCTCGGGCGACGGCCGTCAACGAAATTTGCAGGCGGCCCCCTTGCCGCCCTCCGCGAGGGCGATTTTGTACTGTGCGGGGGGCCGCCTGCAAATGGGCGGCGAGGGGAGGCATGGAATTTTGCAGGCGGCCCCCTTGCCGCCCTCGGCGAGGGCGATTTTGTACTGTGCGGGGGGCCGCCTGCAAATGGGCGGCGAGGGGGCATGGAATTTTGCAGGCGACCCCCTTGCCGCCCTCCGCAAGGGCGATTTTGTACTGTGCTCTATATTTTTGTATAAATATCAATAGTTATCAAATCTTTTTATATTGAAAACTATACAAGATTAAAATCTCCAAGACTGGTAAAATACAATTTTATTATTTTTTAGGGCATATTTGGATTGTTACCGTACAAATATTTTGTTACCGTACAAATATTTTATTAATTTTTAGGGCATATTTGGATTGTTAGTGCCAAATTTTTCTTCACGACCAAATATTTGGTAAGGTAAAATTGCATTTGATCATATTTGGTTTGCTGCCAAAATGTAAAATTGTAGTGAAGAATGTTCTACATAATCTCAAATCTAGATTACGTATTACCAATGAATAGGCTTCCATTTTCGTGTGTTGTGTGCTAGTGGGAAAGAAGATATGAAGAGGTTGCCTTCAGATTGTCAATTATATAGCGTCGTTTTCACTGCAATATATGTGAACTCAATGAGATACATTATTCATTAGATGTGACAAGACGATCACGCGTGGGCGTGATTCACTTTATGTAAACAGGCAGCGCCGAAAGTTGATAGTGATAACTCGAGCTGCCGCTTTTCATGTGTGCTGTTGTGGACTGTGCGCGCTACTGGATCTGACACTACCGTGCAGCGCCGAAAGTGTGTTGTCGTGAGCATAAGTTGTTCTAGCACCATATGAATGAAAAGAACTATGTAGACGAGACAAACACAAGTAGTACTGCAGTAGTAATAGCAAAAGTAGTACTGCTTTACAAGTTTGTAAGCCAAAAGAAACGGTCACATAAGGACTGAAGAGGTAGAACACTACTGACGAGGCCTCTTACCCCTGTCCCTCCTACCCTGCGCCCTAATGTGCCCGTGGGAGTACGTGAGTCGGTCCGGGGGTACGGCACGGCCAACCCGTCCTGCCTGTACAGGTGTGACCTCTGGCTGCTCCTGAGTGTGTGCCTCTGGAGCTCCTCCAAGCTGAGAGGAGCCTAGTACGTCGTGGTGGTCTGCACCGTGCAAGTCGTCGTCGTAGAACTGGCTAGTAGGACCAGTCCTACCGGCGTGAGACGAAGAGGCCCCAGTACCGAAGATCCCGGCTGCAAATCCTGCTGGACAAGGACCATCAGTTTCGTACAGGTATTTAACAGTATTAATAAAAAGTAAAGTACCGTGTGGGCGAGGGATCGACGCTCCGTGAGAGGAAGAGCTGGCGAACGCGCCCGAAGAGGTGGCGAACGCCCCTGCGGAGCTCGTGGAAGCGCCGGTCGTGCCTGCGAACGCGCTCGAAGGCAGACGAGGTCCTGCGATGAGGAAACGTGCAGTTAAAACATGGTGACATAATCGTGCAAAAGCTGAAACAAAAATGAACTAATATCTAGGCTGAACTGTACCGTGCGAAACCGGTGCTGTAGGTCGCACTGATCCGAAGCTAGGGGCGCTCGAAGGCAAACGAGGTCCTGCGAGGATGGATCATCAAGTTACGACGGGGTGATGTTTTCGTACAAAAACAGAAACAAAACTTAAGAAACCTCTGGGCTGAGCAGTACCGTGCGAAATAGGTGCCGTAGGTCGAGGTCCTGCTCCGACGGTAGGCGCGCGAGGCCGTGGTTGTACCGGACCAGCTGGAGGTACGACGTCCACAGCGCTGCGACAGGAGAAGACGCGCATGACCGCACGCATCTTCTCCTGCATCCGGTCGAAGGTCACCCTCTGCTCAACGTCAGTCAAGTGCAAACCTCTGTTCAACCTCACTTGGACTGCGGTGATATCGGCACTGATATCCCGTGCGGCATCAGCCTATGCAAGATGGAAATAACAAATTCAGTAGTTGTCCTATATTATGCAAGATAAATGAAATAATTGTAAGAAGTAATACAAATTGGATGTACCGCCACGAAGTAGTCTCGGTCACGGTGCGTGGGATACGCGTCCGTGACAGCGGCAACGTGCGGCTCTGGGGCGTCTGGAGTGAAGGTCACACGCGCACGAGTGCGAGGAAGGTACCAACGAAGGTAGTCACGGTAGTTCTCCTCCGTGTGTGGGAAGAGCTCGTTGATCACCTCCTCTGTAGCTAACACCCAGTCGTCAACGTACTGCTGTACACGTGGAGCCCAAAGTGCGCCTGCTAGCTGTCCCCGTCGAGTCAACCTGTGAAGAGAGGTAAATTATATGGCTCGATGAAGTAATTATCATAAAAATTTAGAAATGAACAATCCGAACTCACGAGTGGTCGGCAGGGAGGACGGTCGGCTGCACGTTGCCCGGAAACACCTGCCTAAGTCCGAACTGTCTCATCACACGCTGCGGGCAGTGAGGCTCAACGAAAATGTCGAACACCATCGGCAGGATGGTGAGCCAGTAAGCCTGGTCGCGTGTGCACAAGGACGAAAGTCCTAGCGGTGCTCTCGCAGCGACGGCCTCTTCTGTGTACGGCTCCCAGATGACGTCGCTCGGCTGGAGACGGTCAAACTCGAACACGAAGTCCGGGTAACCACGTCTCACCTGGACGTGAGCGTAACGACGCTGCAATAAACATGATCGGAATTAGACATGTTATGTGAAGAAAAAAAAAGACGACTGATAAACTTATAACGCAGCGAAGTTGCACTAACCCCACGTCGACACCAGTAAGTCCCCATCGTGGGACCGTCCTCTGGCCACTGCGCGCTGCGACCAACCCCATAGGGTGCGCTGTCCACCACTGGTCGACCTATGGCAAACCTCTCGGCTGCCCAAAGCTGAAGCAACATAGGGCAGCCAGCGATGATCGCTCCCGCGTCAGTCTTCGTGCACGCCTCACAGAGGGCACGGTACGTGGCTGCTAGCACGGCAGAACCCCAGCTCCACTGCGGCACGTCCTGTGGCTGAGCATCCGCGATGCACCGTGCGTAGTGGACCAGCCGGAAGTCCACAGCGTGCCCGTGGGTGCTAGTGAACATCACCCACCCGAACAACCACAACAGGTACGCCTCAAGGGAGCGTCGGACCGAGTAATCATCAGCGTCAGGGTGTAGAATGAAATGTTAGTACAAAACACTCATTCGGTCGCAAATAAGCACGTATGATAATAACAACTTATTTACTTACAGTGAACTGGAGCAACCAAGCCTTGCTAGGCCCGACTGTAGAGTACGGAGGAAGGGTGGTGGTCGGTCCTAGGTGTGGAAGGCGCATCACCTGCTCGAAGCGCGCAGTGATATCCTCCTTCCACCCAAAAACACCGTCCACGGGACCAACTGCTGCTCCCGCCAGCGGTAGCCCGAGCAGGTACGACACGTCCTGCAGTGTCGGAGCCATCTCCCCACAGGGAAGGTGGAACGTGTGCGTCTCAGGTCTCCAGCGGTCTACAAGAGCGGCAAGGAGTGACCGATCTGCATCCCACCGCTTCGCTGGGTCACGGTCGTCCGCCGCCGCCTCAACAAGCCTACAAAGTGGTAGAAGGCCTGCCGCACGCAACCTGTATAGAGCAAACTTCAAACATAAGTACAACACAAAGCAAAGTTGAGTTGAAATGTGAACATACGCGTACCAAGGAACGTGACGGGGGTCGACACGCAACCACTCGCGCGACGTGCGTGGACGGAAGGTGCCGAGCTGTGCACCCTCGACTGCTGACAGGAACGAGCGGTGGTTCCTGTCAATCCCACGGTTCAACAGCGCCGGTGTGTCGTACGCCATACCTGCATCAAATAGGTTGATCAGAAACATATAAATAATTAGTTCAACATAAGTAATTAGTTCAACATAAGTAATAAATGTTGAACTAAGCGAATTACTAACACATATTAAACAAGAGTACAAACAAACAAAAGTGTTTACTCCGAACACTCATCACGATAACATTATGATACAACACCGAATAATTCGCAATACTACTAGTACAACAATAGTCGGAGGTACTCATTACAACAACATTGAATTGAAATTACACGATAGAAGTATTTAGTCCAAACACTCATTACATCACAACAGCATTTTATTTCCTAAATCGAAAGCATTGTTACACCATGGAATCGCCTGCTGCGCGACGACGCCTTGGCCTTGCGCGCCTGCTTGTTGTTCCTTCACCAGGTGGTCGCCTACCATCACTTGCCTATCCAGATGGACTAGCATCTGCGCCGCTTGGAACTTCTGCATTCTTCGGGCATTTCTTGTAAGTATGGCCGCGCAGATCACACTTGCTGCAGCGTAAAGTCCTCCCACCTGCTTCTGACTCATCCATATCATTTCTGATGCGTCTAGTTTGGCGTCGACCCTTTTTCACCCTTAACTTAGATGGATCTGGAATATAAAAAACTTGGGCACTCAGCGTTGTGTAAGATCCTGAGATCCCGAACCCATATATCTCCTCACTCCATGTATGAAAGATTGCTTCTTTCCTGAAATAATTTGA